AACCGGCAGTTCTGAGACGATCTCAGAGGGAGGGAAAGAAAGCCTGCCATTCCAGATGATTACATGGTGTATCTATAGGAATCTGATTTTGATATTGGGATTAACAAAGATCGAGTCTCATTTTCATAGGCCATGAATAGTGATGATTCTACTAAATGGGTCAATGTTATAAATGAAGAGTTAAAATCCATGGAACAAAATAGTGTTTGGAATCTTGTCGAATTGCCTAATAACTGCAAAAAAGGTGGGGTGTAAATGGGTCTTCAAGACCAAGCGTGACGCAAAAGGCAATATCGAACGATTTAAAGCCAGACTTGTTGCCAAAGGTTTTACTCAAAAAGAAGGCATAGACTATACAGAGACCTTCTCTCCAGTATCTAAGAAGGACTCGCTTAGAATCATCCTAGCATTGGTAGCTCATTATGACTTAGAGTTGCATCAAATGGATGTGAAAACTGCTTTTTTAAATGGGAATTTGGATGAAGAAATTTATATGGAGCAGCCCGAAGGATTTGCAAAGAAAGGTAAAGAACATTTAGCTTGCAAATTAAAAAAATCCATATATGGCCTTAAACAAGCTTCTAGGCAATGGTATTTAAGGTTTAATGATACCATTACCTCTTTCGGATTTAAGGAAAATGCAGTTGATCAGTGCATATATCTGAAGGTTAGTGGGAGCAAGTTCATTATGTTGGTGTTATATGTGGATGACATTTTGTTAGCTAGTAATGACCTTGGCTTATTGCATGAAACCAAGGAATATCTCTCCAAGAACTTTAAAATGGTCGATATGGGTGAGGCAAACTATGTTATTGGCATAGAGATCTTTAGGGTTCGATCTCGAGGATTGCTAGGACTATCTCAAAAAGGATATATTAATCGTGTTTTGGAGAGATTCAATATGCAGTTTTGTTCAGCCGGTGATGCACCCATCATGAAGGGTGATAAATTAAGTGAAAAACAATGTCCAAGGAATGACTTGGAAAGAAAACAAATGAGGGACATTCCATATGCATCAGCTGTAGGGAGTCTGATGTATGCCCATACATGTACCAGGCCAGATATTAGTTTTGCAGTTGGAATGTTGGGAAGATTCCAAAGTAATCCTGGAATGGAACATTGGAAAGCAGTAAAGAAAGTTATGAGATATCTTTAGGGAACAAAGGATTATATGCTCACCTATAGGAGATCAGAACAGTTGGAAGTTATCGGATACTCAGACTCAGATTTTGCTGGTTGCCTTGATAGTAGAAAATCTACATCGGGTTTTGTTTTTCTACTAGCTAGTGGAGCAATTTCATGGAAGAGTGTGAAGCAGTCCACTATTGCTTCATCTACTATGGAGGCTGAGTTTGTGGCATGCTTTGAGGCTACAAATCATGCTTTATGGTTGCGAAATTTCATCTCAGGGCTTGGTGTTGTTGACTCAATTTCCAGGCCGCTGAAGATATATTGTAACAATACCGCAGCAGTTTTCTTTTCTAAGAATGGAAAATACCCCAGTGGTTCCAAACACATGGAAGTAAAGTACTTGGTTGTTAGAGAGAGAGTCCAGAAACAACAAGTGTTAATTGAAAACTTAAGCACCTCTCTTATGATTGCTGATCCATTCACAAAGGGATTGCCACCAAAGACATACAAAGAGCATGTTATCAGGATGGGTCTTTTAAGCAACCCTTGATGTGTATGGTTAATCATGAGTGCTTATTTTTATTTGACACTATTTGCAATAATAATTTTGTTTCTTTTTCATACTTTGTATGTTTCATTAATAAAGTTTTCTTTTGCTAATAAAAAAAAAAAAAAACTCACAGCTCTCAAACGCTTTTCACAACTCTCTTTTTTCTTCATTTTCTATCTATCAACTCAGCTCACCGCTCTCCATATTTATACACAAACGGGAGAGCTAACGATTAACACTTGCCTACCAACAACCAACCACTAAAATAAATGGTAAGCCATTAACATAGCCACCTTACAATAAGATAACTAGGTTGAAAAACTCTAGATCTCTAGCCCAAATCTACAGCCTCAATTCTTAACTTCCAAAGCCAACTTCACATGGTGTGGATATTGGATTTATTCTCTAGTGTGGCCCAATAGCCTACATATATTTTCTACATGTTTTAATTTATTTGGACTCCACAAATAGATAAAGCCAATATTTGAGATCAAGTTCAGTAAATAGAATTTTAATATAATCACTCTTCTAAGATAAGAAAGAAACCTTGATGGATTAGGAATTTTTATCTGGCCCTCTTCTCTCCTCTATATAAGGATGGGTGACTCCCCTTTCATATCATGAGTATTTTCCATCACTTTAAGTTTTATAGTCATCCTAATTAAGAGAGACAGAGAGAAGAAGGTGAGCCAAAATTAAAGGTTCAACTCTAAGGGGTATTTTCTCAACTTCTCTAATTCAATGGCTGACAAAGGTATATTCGTTTTATTCTTGAGTTGTATTGAATTCAAGATCCTGTAAAGTTTAATTCCGCATTATTATTATGATTACATGTATTATTAAATCTTACATAGTCCTCATTGGATTTGTCTTCTGGGTTTGATTCTGAACTGGGTTCTTCACGGGGTCATATTCATATACATCGTAGTCCAGAAATTAAAGAAGAACCTTCGTATTCACCACCACCACCACTTCCTTAAACAGGTTGGGGGCCATGTGGGGTGAACCCATCTCCTTAGATGGGTTGGAGTGAAGGACCATATGGAGTATGCCCACCTCCTCAAATAGCTTGGGGTTCGTATGGGTTGAACTCACCTCCACAAACTGCTTGGGATTCATTTGGAGTGAATTCAAATACTCAAATGTATTATATGAAGAGATCTTCACCTCTCATTCAGTTTGTAAGTTGTGATCCAAGGACTTCTCATTAGGCAGGACCTGAATCATCATCATATTTATATATGAATTCATATTCACCACCACCACCACCACCACTTCCTCAAACAGGTTGGGATTCATTGAATTACTTTGACTGATTCGATTGCTGTTTTTTTCAACTTTTCAGGCACTTGCTGAGGAAGGTAAAGCGAGATACGAAAAGGCAAGCTTTAAAGTAATTGATATGGTGAGTTTGACTTTTTTTGCTCCTTTTTTTTTGATGTAATTGTTTAAAATTTAATTTTAGGGTTGATTATTGATTGAATGAATGGTTGATAGGATAATTATGCCGCCACTGATGAAGAATATGAGGAGAAATTGAAGAAAGAAACTGTGGCATTTTTCTTTTTAGCTGCGTGAGTTTTTACTTCACATCACATACATACATATATACATACTCGTGTATTGTTGGTATATAACATTGTATTTAATTTATTTGTTTGTTGTGGTATAGATATGGAGATAGTGAGCCAACTGACAATTCTACAAGGTTCTATAAATGGTTTTCAGAGGTAAATTTTGATTAATTTCTAATTTTTATTGTTACTATGGTTCTTCTACCAAGTGAGACTTGGGTTTCATGGCGTGTTATATGACTGCCTATAGGGTAAAGGGAGAGAGAAATGGCTTAATCTTTCGTACGGAGTGTTTGGCCTTGGCAACAGGCAATATGAGCATTTCAACAAGGTCTGGATTTCATTTCATTTCATGTTTTGGTCAATTTCACGTATATATTATGTGTGTATGTAGTGTAATTCTTAACTAAAATTTTGTATTTGTGGTTGTGTTATTGGGAAACAGATAGCAAAGATCGTGGATGAGGTCCTTGATGAGCAGGGTATGTTTTGAATCCCTGTTTTGCTCTCCTCTAGTGACCTTTTGCGTCAATTTGTTGGAATTTGAACAAAAGTTACTATACTTGAGGAGTGAATGCTAAACTGTGGGTTGGACATGGGAAAAGTTATAGTAGTACTTATTTGCTTCTGTTGATTACCGTTAAATTTTTTTGATAAATTGTGGTGTCTTACATCTCTATAAATTGTTGAATGTTACCATTGTATTTAGTCCTAACCATGCATGCTATTGCCTTCTGTTTGAAACATGCGTTGTAATAATATTTTAGTCCTAGTTTCTTGTAATTTCTGTTATCATAGGCAAATATACATGTTTACTGTACTATTTGCATAGCTAAATAGTACAGAAATAAACAATTTGTTGCTAGTAAAAAAAGGAAAATGTCTCGTAGCTCAAATTTTGTGGCTCAAAAGTGGCTCAAATGGCCAAAACGACGTCGTTTTGGCCATTTTTATGTTGTTTTGTACTCAAAACGACGTCGTTTTGGCCATTTTTATGTTGTTTTGTACTCATGATTATGTTTATCATTTACATGTGGAAATCGTCTTGTTCCAGTGGGTCTTGGAGATGATGATCAATGCATGGAAGATGACTTTGCTGCATGGTATTAAGAACATGAATCATTAACTGGAACTCATAGCATATATATTTTTGCAACTTCTTTAAGATATGTAGAAATAAAAGCTTAGTTACTGTTGCTAATGTAGGCGGGAATTACTTTGGCGCGAGTTAGATCAGTTGCTTAAGGATGATGACAGTTCAACTGTTACAACTCCTTACACTGCTGCTGTGTTGGAATATCGTGTGGTATATCATGACGGCACAGATGCATCAATATTGGACAAGAGCATGAGTATGTCAAATGGTCATGCTGTTCATGATGCACAACATCCATGCACGTACCAAAAGAATGTTTTAAATCCTGAATTTTTCTGTTGCTAGTTAATTATATGCTTTTGTTTCTGTAACCTAACAAATATTTTATCTTGGAATTAAGGTCTAATGTGGTTGTGAAAAAGGAGCTTCATACTGCTGCCTTTGATCGATCTTGCACCCATCTAGAATTTGACATTGCTGGAACTGGACTTGTGTAAGTTGTAATTCTAATTCACTTAATTATGGATGTATATTTGGAATAAGGTGATGACAAATTCTGTCGACTTACTACTATTATTTATTTTTGGTAAGCAAATTGTCAACTGGATTTTGCTTTAGCTTTAAATGGAAAATGCCTGCTCTTTAAATTTAAAACAAATTGGATTAGAAAAAGCATGCATTTAATGATGAATCAACTTTGTTCATTTATCTTTCTTCACTTCCTTTGTCCACAGATATGAAACTAGGGACCATGTCGGCGTGTACTGTGAGAATGTGATTGACATTGTGGAGGAAGCTGAAAGGTTAATGGATTTATTACCAGATACAAATTTCTCCATTCACACCGATAAAGAGGATGGCACTCCACTTGGTGGTAGCTCATTGCTGCCTCCTTTCCCTGCATGTACCATAAGAACGACACTGACTCGATATGCAGATCTTTTGAGCTTTCCGAAGAAGGTAGGGCCATTGTTTGTTTAGTTATGTGTTGCTCATAATATTATATATGTGAACTCTCATTAACTAATTTGTTAAATGTATGTGTTTTCCAGTCTGCATTACTTGCCCTGGCAGCTCATGCTTCTGATCCAAGTGAAGCCGAGCGATTGAGGCATCTGTTGGCTCCATCCACTACCTACATGGTAAGGAGCCCACCATCCACATGGTGTGGGTGGCACCATGTGGTAAAAGAAGCTGGTGGAGGGCAACACCAACTCACTAAAGGAAGATAGTGAGGGTGGCACCACCTTGGCCAATTATGGCTATCACTTCACCTACTCCTCCTCTCTTGGTTATAAATTGAGATGAGTGAGGAGGGGTTGGAAATCATCAGAAATTGGAGAGTGAGAGCTGTGAGTTGAGTGAGTTTTCATCTCCTCCTTTGTATTTGTATTTTGCTCCATTTTAGTGAAAACTTCTCGTTTCTGTCCGTGGATGTAGGCATTGGGCCGAACCACGTAAATATTGTGTTCTCTGTGTGTGTGAGATATTTTTCTGGGTGTGTTTGATCCTAACAAGTGGTATCAGAGCCGGTGTTGTACGTTTTGCGGAAAAAACAGAGTGTTGTTCCGAAACTGCCCAGAAATCGTATTGCTCGAAATCAGATTTTGAGCATACTAGGAGCAAGGGCTCGACAAGAGGAGTCCAGAAATATAAAGTAGACACCCAACGGAGGCCGGATGCGCCCTCACGCGCCTCTGGAAGTTGGCGCGTGAGTCCCAGTCGCGTCACGTGCCAACACGCGCCGTGCAGGCATCGGCGCGTGGTCCCAATCTCACCCACGCGCTCCACGCGCGGACGAAGGAAGAAGACGCGTGAGTTCACGCGCAGACACGCGCCGCACGCGCACGCGCCAGCCGACGTCTTCAGCCGAGCCGAGTCTTCAGCCGCTGACCGAGCCGTTGACTGAGCCGCTGACGTCAGCCCGACGCCAGCCGAACCGGAGAAATAATCTGGTGCTTATCAGCCGCACCAGATTCTGCCAATCTGAACTATTCATTCTGTTTTGGCTTGATTTAAGCCATTTGAGGTCCGATTTGGGTGATCCAATAGTGCTTTCCAACTATTTAGAATATTTCGGACACATCCGTACGGTCAGATTTCACTACAACAAAAGTAACTTATGGTGACGAAAAGCGGTGAAGAAAATAAATTTCGTCACCAAATAAGAATAATCTGTGACGAATTATAAAATTTTGTCACATATAATAAAAAAATAAAAATAATAGGTGACGAAATTTATTTTCGTCAGCAAGTACTTCTTTTTAGGTGAGGAAAAATTAAATTTCGTCACCGAAAGTTTTCCCGCTAATTTTTTTTAGTGGCGCCAAAATTTTGAGACTTTTGGTGAGAAAAATATTTGTCACCAATTATAAAATTATTAGTGAGAAATATATTTTCATCACCAATAATTTTATATATATATATTTTTTAAGAAACTTGATTTAAAATATTTTAAGACCATTTGGTGAGAAATATATTTTTGTCATGAATAATTTTTAATATTTTGAGACTTTTTAGTGAGAAAATTATTTTGTCACTAATTTTGTAGGGAAAGTTTTGAAATATTGGATAGTAATGAAAAAAAATATACTACTAACTTTCCGTCCCCTCCCTCATTCCCTCCCTTTTTTTTTTGTTTATCAATTTTCCTCTTCTCCCCCCTCTCTCTCTCTCTCTCAAAACATAACACAAGTTAATTAGCTCTCTAAGTAACTTATGGTGACGAAAAGTAATAAAGAAATTAAATTTCGTCACTAAAAAAAATAATCCGTGACAAATTATAAGATTTTGTCACATATAATAAAAACATAAAAATAATAGGTGACGAAATTTATTTTCGTCAATAAATACTTTTTTTAGGTGAGAAAAAATTAAATTTCGTCACTAAAGATTTTGCCTCTTATTGTTTTGGGTGGTGCCAAAATTTTGAGACTTTTGGTTAGAAAAGAATTTGTCACCAATTATAAAATTATTAGTGAGGAATATATTTTCGTCACCAATATTTTAAAAATATATATATTTTTTAGAAACTTGATTTTAAATATTTTAAGACCATTTCCTCACTAATAATTTTTAATATTTTGAGACCTTTGATGAGAAAAATATTTTGTTACTAATTTTAAAGGGAGAATTTTGACATATTAAGCGATAATGAAAAAAAATAAATTCATATTCCCCCCCCTTTTTTTTTTGTGTGTTTATTAGTCTCTCATCTCTCTCTCTCACTCACTCTCAAAAACAAAACACAAGTTAGGTCTCTTCCTTTAGCATTCCATGTCCTCCTTCAGCGTGTTTTTCTCCAGTGCTGTCGCCGACGTCGCCCGTTCTCCTCCTTCATTGGCGCCGCCGACGTCGCATCTCCGAGCCCGTCCACCCGTCTCCTTTAGTGCCATGTGTTCTCTTCCATCAATGCCTCTTATTATTCGATTTCTCTGCATCGTATTTTCAGGTATGGGTCCTCTCTCTCTCTCTATCAATTTCTCTATTTTTCTATCTCTGTTTTTCCTAATTTTCAAAACTAATGAGACAGGCAGGGTCCCATATGTGATTTCTTCGGACTGTATTTTGCATTTAAAGGTTGTGATTTCTTCGGATTGAATGGTGGGGACATGATTGATTTGATTGCTAATGTTTCTCCCTGGTAAGCAGGTTGACAATTACTTATTTGCTTGGTTGTTTTCACAACATTGATTGACTTCCGTTGCCTTCACAGGTTTCTCTTATTGAACAGGTTTCTGAATAATATATTGACGAAATAATTACTCGGGAAGGGGGGGTTGGGGTTAACCTTAACTAATTATTTGTTGTACGTAGAAGGGAAAAAAAAGGATTGTCACTAGATTTCTAGCAAAGGTTTATTAGCTGATACGGCTTGATTGTGCTAGTCTAACTCCATAAATTTGTTATCTATTTAACCTCTCTACATGATAGGATTTTCCTACAATGTTACAGAGTAGAATTGAGGGGTTTTTGGTGGTCTCTTGGAACTTGTTCTCTGGTTGAGAATTTTTTTTGCATTTCTGGATCTTTGGCCTTTAGTTTTGTGAGTTTCGAGTTTTGTATTTCTGGATGCTTTTATCTCAGCAAAAAGAGGTACTTCAAGTGAAGTAGTATTATTTGGATTGGAATTACTTTGTATTGTTAAATAGTTAATTATTTTTCTTTTTTTTTCTTTTTTTTTTTTGGTTCTTTTTCCTAATCTTCATCTTTTGCTGTTGAAACCTTTTACTCCTCAATTTTATATTTGAATAGTGATATGTCATGAATAATATTTTATTTAAAGGCGTCAAACTTTGTTGTAAGATGTTTAAGATCGTGAATTTTTTAAATAAGCAGCTGATTGATTGGACATGTATTTTCTTATACACCCTTCTCCACATATCAATAATTATGTTAAGTTTGTCAAATCTTTTGTGAATGAGTATTGACCATTCAATTATAATAGAATAGAGCTTAACTACGTGTTCTTTTCTCATTTTCTACCAAGGTACATTCTTTTTGAAAGATTTGAGTTTGTCACATAGGGGGAAGCATTGATTATGGCTAGCCCAGTAAACAATCAGGGTAATCTATTGATTTTGTGGTGATTGGTGACTAATTTGTTAACAAATATAACTGGTACATTTTATTCTTGAAAATTGACATTTTTGGAGCAGAAATATTGCGTGTAACCACATTGTTGGGGAATGCGTCATTTTTAGATCAAAGTGGGTTGGAACATGCTAGCTCTTTGGCTTTAGGTGGAATATTTTAAAATGGAGGAGCCAATGTGAACAGATGGGCATCACCGTTTCAATCAAAAGTATGTATACTAACTATTAACATAACCTTTTGTTCCATCTAATTTTACTGTTTTTCAGAAACATTCCTGACTCATTTTTTAAACATTTCATTCTAACTTCATTAGTCTATTTGAGTGCTTGTACTGAAATTTCGTGTCTTTCATGACGGTTAGTTTGAGGCTAACATCATTAAGAATAACACAAAGATTTAATCAAGTGTCCTAATCCAGCATAACAAGATAGTTAACACAATGTTGGAAAGGACATTTACCTATAAGGGTTGAGACAATTGGAGGACTTTTGTTCTTACTGCTGACTTCTCGATTAACATGATGTTTAGTGGTGTACATTACAAGGGGAGACTTGTTGGCAGAGACCAATTCATTTGTTTTTGGTTCTAAGAAGTGACTAATTTATTATGTTGTTGATACAGTAGTTAAATATGCTATCATCTGAATGCAAAGAAAAAATTAACCAAAAAAAAAAAACTCATAAGAGCTGGTAGTATTTGCAAAATGATGTATATTTCTTGGTTTCAATACTCTGGAGTTTGTTTTCAGATATATAGGAATAAGTTCAAGCTCTTATATGATTTGTGCTCAAACGCGAGCATATGTTTTTGGTGTTCCATTCATATATATGTTGAGGTGCACCTATTTACTTCTGTGGGTTATCTTAATTTCAATGTTCAGCAGTTCTAAGGTACTTTTCTTTGTGATAGTTTTTTGGAAATTTGGTAGATCTTGCTTTGAAAAACAGTATTACAGGTGTATCTATCTTTTACGTTCTTTTAACGTTGGCTGTGTTTTTATTACACAGATGTCAGGTTTATTGCAGCCCTCATCTGCACAAAACAGGCTTGGTTCTCAAGGCAGCTCATCTGGTCCTATAGTGAAGAGAACGATGAGGGTGAATATCACAGTTGATCAATATCCTAATGTACGAGTTATTCTCTTATTCCATTGCATCTTTTTCATGGTGTGGTTTACTGCATTTCATGTTTAACTTCCTGTTACCCACTTGTTGTTGCAGTTCAATTTCGTTGGCCGCCTCCTTGGTCCTAGAGGGAACTCACTCAAGAGAGTAGAGGCAAGTGCTGAGTGCCGTGTTCTAATCAAAGGACATGGTAGCATCAAGGATCCTGTTAAGGTAATTTTGATTGTCTTTTCAACCAGAATGCTTGTGTTTCTTGGATACTTTATGTTGTGTTTTATGGTTTGATGTGTTAATACATGAAATGCTGAAACCATAATATTCTGGATACTGAATGGAGCAATGCCACACTTTTAATCTCTCTCTCTAAATGAAAGCTAGAGGTGTAACATGGGCTGTGCTCATATTCTTAACTTATGTCATCTTCATCTCATTTTCAATTCAATTATTTATTTCTTTTTAGTGGTATTCATTTCCTGATATCATTTCTAGAGAGTTTTGTTTGTACAATAGTC